AAGAAGAAGAAGAAGAAGAAGAAGAAGAAGAAGAAGAAGAAGAAGAAGAAGAAAAAGAGAAAAAGAAAAAGAAAAAGAAGAAGAAGAAGAAGAAGAAGAAAAAGAAGAAGAAGAAGGAGAAGACAACATCTTGGAAACAGCAGCAGTAGCAACAGTAGCAGCAGAAGCTGTGACAGAAGCAATATCAACAGCAACAACACATATAACAACTTCTACACCAACAACAAAAAAACAACTGTGGCAGCAGCCTGTATAAAGACAATGTTAAGTCAATGATAATACATATATAGCCATAAAAGGCAAAACTGCTAAAACTGAGAAATTATGTAGCTTGATTCAAATGAAGAAATAAAGAAAAATAAAATGTGAAAAAGAAAGCAATGACATTTTCTGCGTATCATGTTTGATCTCTACTCCAAGTTTTGATTGACTATTTCAATTTATGTTTACAAAGCTTAGTGGCGCTGCTGGAGACTCTGGTGCCTCGTGACAACCGGGCATGTATCTGTTACACTGTGAAAGTCACGCAGCAGGTATCGTGCTGGAAATATCGATCTGTGTCAAAACGCATGTTGCGTACTTTTGGGCAGGGTAGCAACAAGGTTATGCCATTAGCTTAAGTGAAAGAGATGCCACACCGCTTACATTTGGGAGATATAAACTGTGTTATTGCTTTGCAGAAAAATTCCTGATTTATATCGACGTTACTGATTTCTGTCCCGATAACTTATGTTTACTGTTTTGGAGTTTCTGTTTCTAGATCAAGATTTTTTGTAATGACTGAAAGAAAAACAAAAACAGGAACTGGAGAAAAATGAAGAGAGAAAGAGAGAAGAAAGAAAGAAAGAAAGAAAGAAAGAAAGAAAGAAAGAAAAGAAAGAAAGAACGAAAGAAAGAACGAAAGAAAGAGAGAAAGAAAAATAGAGAGAAAGAAAGAGAAAGAAAAACAGAAAAAAAGAAAAAAATAGGGGAAGAAACTGAAATATGAGACCTTTCCCAATAAAAATCAATTTGCTTTATATCCGGTTTATACGAGATTGGTTTAACCACACAATGGAAGAAACTTTCAACATTGTGTCTGTTTCCGATTGGTTTAGAGACCACAGTTACAAAAATGGTCCAAACGAAAAAAAAAAGAAAGAAATCCAAGCCCTGTGAAAGAAATGGGTACGGTATTGGGAAGTTGAGATTACATGCCCTATATTTTTTGTGTACATGCCACGTCGCGACATAGAAGCTATCGTGAAGATTGAGCAAATAAAAATGGTAACGCTCAGGTTCTTAAAACAATGTCGATGCCAGACTTAGCTACCAATCTGTCTACCTACTTACCTGTACACTTACCCACCCACCATTCTGGACAATCACGCACGTTCATTTGCTTATATATCCATCCCTTATCTGCCTGCCTACCTACCCACCAACCTACATACCTACCTACCTACCCACCAGTTCACCAACCTACCTATCTCCGGCCCATCTTATGTGACTTCGTTGGGTAGGCTTTTAATAACTAATGCCAGCATACTAGATACTTTGTTTACATTTCTGAAATTATCGATGACGAAAAAAATGAAGGTTCCATTTTGGGACGGGATAGAGGGCTGCCCACCTTGGATTTTAGAAGAGCAGAGTAATATAGGACCGTTACTGATATCAACAAATACCATCTAATATTAACGAATTAATGTATTCAGACGTCCAAGCACATATTTGTGATGATTATTATTTTAGAAATAACTTACCAGTCTTTGATAAATGCAACTACAACAAACTATTCACCCTCTCCCCCCCCCAAAAAAAAAATCATGCCCTCCACAAAAAAAAGGGGGGGGAATCAACAGCTCCCCCACACACGTCATAAAACAGGTGGAAGGGGCTGTCAAATTAAGCTCACCTTGATTTCTGACCAGATGGCTTCATTTGTATAGGATCAGGCATAGGAAAAAAACCCAACATAACATATAAAATGTAGAAGTTCCGCTTTTTGACCGACTTTACATTGTACAAGCATTCGAAATCAGAGTACCAGAACCTTTGGTCTAGTGGTAAGGCTCTTTGCCATTGCAAAAGACGAGAGTTCAATGTTCTTCGTTTTAGTTTTAGTAAGATCAGAGCTTTTGTTGTTATTGGTTTGGGGGATTTGTTTGGGGGTATTTTGTGTTATTGTTGTTTTTGTTGTTTGTTTGTTTTGGGTGTTTTTTGGGGGGTGGTAAGTGTTTTACGGCGCTCGCAACTGCATAAAGTCATATGAGCGGGCGGGACACATAAAACATTTTTTCAGTTAGGTTGGAATTTTGAATTTCGCCCGGGTGGCGGCCGGAGCCAACTCGTTTCAATTTTAGGAACTCCCAGGATCTTTGTCGTGCGCAACTTGCCAATAGGACCTCCGAGGCTTTTCGTCATTATCCGTGGAGGGTTGGTGTTAGATCTTACCTACCATAAGATCGAGTGTGTGGCTGAAAGACAGCAGTAAGGAGAAGCCGAGGAGTAGCAGTAGAACGGCTGCAGAGAGAGTCAGGAGCCCAGAGGAGAGGGCAGAACGTGAAGACGAAAGCAGATGACAGAACTTGGTTAAAAGACATGGTTAAAGAGCAGGAAAGGAGCTGAAATGAGAAATATTTAGAGAAGAAAAATTTTCGTCGCTGTCAGGTTTCGAACCCGGGCCCTATTGAATGAGAGGCGAACACCGTAACCTCTAGACCACGAGAGCCCCCGTAAGAGTTTTATGGCGCTTGCAGTACAATAAGGTCATATAAGTGCCAAAGATTAGAGGTACTACAAGAGAGTAACAAACGCAAAAAAGGAAGGAGAAGGGATCAGGACGATTAATATTTGAAAGGAAAGAAGGAGCAAACCACACCAGAAACATACGGATAACTTGAGAACGACAGATGTACGCCATTGGCCGATATTTATAGTAAAAGCCATCTTGTTTAACGTCATTACGGGATTCCCACTGTGTTGTTGTTCACGGTGGCAGCACGACCACAAAGCACTATTGGAGTATTTTTAAAGCCAGTAGCCTACAGTGGCGTGGTCGCGGAGTGGTTAGTGCGCTTGTCTCCAAAGCAGAAAGTCAAGGTTCGAGCCTCCGTTCGGCCACGGTTTTTCTTTTCGCAAGATTTTTAAATCCATCAAAGTCACGACATCACATGCTTTTTCAGTTATCTTATATATTTTTTTAGAAAATTTTTTTTTTTTTAATTAGTCCTTTACTTCCCCAACTCAGGTACCCATTACAGGTGGGTGGGCAGGAGGGGGCGAAAAAAAAATCCGTGGCCGAACCGAGGCTTGAACCTGGGCCTTCTGCTTTGGAGACAACAACGTGCAATTCCATGTCCGAGTGGGGATGTTTAATCCCACGCAGCCTGGGTTGGCTCTATTATAGAATATAGGTATTTTTGCGCTCTCATCGACACAATTTGGATCATTTAGGAGGCGCGTCTACGACCCTGCCTGTTTGGGCCAACCCGGGCTAAGAGGGCTTCAACATCCTTGCAGAAAAAAACGAGATACGTGGTAAAAATTCTCCCCACTCAGGAATCGAACCCGGGTCTCCTGCGTGCAACAACGAATCGCCTAACGACTAGTGCACTACACCACAGACGCCGGTGGCTTCGCTCTGACAGATCCTAAATTATCTCAATTGTGACGATAGGAGCAGGAGCATTTGCAATAAAGCAAACAATAGTTTAACAAATTTCATGCCTCTATCTTTATTTAATTTTGTACCCAAATCTTCCAATGGAGAGTAATAAAGTGGAATTTATTTATTCATTCATTTGTTCATTTATTCATTTTTTCCACTTATTTATTTACATTCAACAGGTGGGCGGCGTGCGGTCAAGGGTAGACAATTCACCTCCTCGACAATACCCACATCTCAACCTACGCTTGAAACAGCTGGAGGTTAGTCTTACTTGTTGAATGCCTTGCTCCGATTGGCTGGAAATAGATTGTGTAAAAGTGGTTTGAAAATTTGAAAACTTAATCTTTGTACGGTTGGTGGAGAATAAGGATATTGGGAAAGGAAATAAAGAGACTTTTTATTTAAGATATTTTTCTCTTTTGTGCTCTATTGTTCTTATTAGCATTCAGATTTCTGTATTGTTGTTGTAACCATTGGTTCCTTTATTGTTATTTTTTAATTCCTCATGTTACTTTTGCTTTTTAGGAATCGGCGATATTTTGGTATATGGATCGACTGTCCCAAGATTAGTGTATTGTATTTTCATTACTTCTTAAAAAGAAGCACTAAAAGTGTGCCATACATGATAATTCATCATCATCATCATCATCGTTGCCTTTCTCACCCTGGGGCAGGATATAGGCCACGAACAAACACTCTCAAATTAATTCAGCGCTGTGTTAAGCTTTGCTCGAGAATGTAGTGCCATACAAATAAATGCTTTGATCCGTTACTTTAAACCCACTGCACACTACCAAATAAGATTCAATCGAACGGAGTCCGAACCCTCCAGATTTTCCTCAAGAGGGAAAAAGCGACCATTTTGACCCTATACAACCGATTCGCCTGACGACCTTGAAAAGCCAACGCGTTGATTTTTGACGGTCACAGTCGTATTTAGTTGAATTCGGTCGATATTGTGCCAATAATGTAGCTTTTGCCATATTAACTCTAATCTTTTCTACCACATTATTTTATTTTCTAGGCCTACCACTTTCAGCTGATTTCCACCACATCCTTGTTCTTTCCCACCTTTTTTTTTCTTTTTGGTATCTTCCAACATTTTCTTCTTTGTTTTCGATGTTTTATTGATCCTCAATATTTTCTTTCACTGTTTCCTTGTTATTTTCCACTGTTTTGTTTTTGTGTCTGTATGGAGGGGGCGCGGTTGTTCCAAACTGTTTCTTACTGGTATCAATTAATTGTTATCCTGCTCTATACTACACGCTAAATAACTATCAGCTGTTGTGCTACTTCTCTTTTTTAAACTTAAAATTTGTTAGCATTTTAGGCAGGTGGGGGTGCTCATGGAAACGATGAATACTGGAAGAACTTGTTGACAACTTAGCTGGCACTGCTGGGTGGACTTGGTCTGATGATGAGCCTGCCTAAGGGCACTCAATGTGAGGTGCAGGTCGGAAGGGGGGGGGGCAAAAAAGTAAAATATTACTGTATAATATAGACGGGGAAACAAAGAAAGAAGAAAGAAAGTGTGTTGGAAGAGTCTTTCCCTTATAAAAGTTTGATATAATCTGTCCTTGAGTATCAAAAGATTACAGACGTCAAAAATGTAAGGGCGCTTTCAATACTTTAGAAAAGTCTTAAAATGCGCTTTTAGGTTGACAAACTAAACAGAATCACAGACAAAAATATTGTAACAAATCATCCAGCATGGAGGAGACAATGTATTTGAAAAGATTTAATAAGTATGCATGCCACCGTGTTATTATCGTAAACAGTGAATAATAAAACGTAAACTTACTGACATCTTGAGCAAGAGAGTAATTATTATTCTTTGCTCTATGAGTGTTACAAGCTTCAGACGAAAAGGCACGTTCATTTAATACCAGGACTTGGCATTCAACTATACCATTGAATGGTTTTAAGCCTGGGTGTATGGTTTCCTCAGGTGTCGGCTTAGCTTAATGTTGCGGAAAATTAATATCTTAACCGCACAAAAAGAATCTTTTTAATTTCTACATTGATTTATCGATTTCCCGAAATTCTGTATCGGCAATTTTAATGACTGGGGAAGGAAAGCAATGTCTGCTTCTTTTGAAGGCAATCTTTATCCTAACCAGGTTAAGAAAAAGAAAAGTTTTATGCAACTCCATAAATAGTAAAAATTTTATGCTCAGTATTTGAATTGGTAGTGCCAGTTGCCCATAATTTGAAAAGGTCTCAACGTATAAAGACGAAGAGAGTAAATACCCGCGTGGCCTCAATTTGGATATTCATGTAAACGTCTTGTACATGAATGTTTACGTAGTTGGCTGACAACCTTTATAGCTTCTGAAAAACAGTTTTTTATGAATATATATATATATATATATATATATATATATATAGATAGATAGATAGATAGATAGATAGATAGATAGATAGATATATAGATATATAGACATGTATATGCATATTATATAATATATGAGCCGGGAAAACGGAGAAGTGGGAAAAAGGGGGCTGACTTTTGTTCTTAAAAAGAACGTTGCGTATCTTTATTCTTGCCTCTCAAGGCGTAAACCTATGTGGTAAGATTCTTTGAAATAAAAAGGCAATAGATGTGTAAGTGTGCGTGTGTGTCTGTGTGTGTGTTTATGTGTATGTGTATGTACATGTGTGTGTTCTTGTAGTTGTGTTTTGTGGGTTTTTGGTTTTTTGTTTGTTTGTTTTTGGTTTGTCGTTGTGTTTGTTTGGTTGTTGTTGTTGCTGTTTTTAGGGGGATTGTTATGTTTGTTTTGATTTTGTTGTGTGTGTGTTTTTTTCTTTGGGGGAGGGGGAGATGAGTTTTTGTTTCAAATATTCCGCTGAAGGAGATATTCTTAGGGCTTCTTTCCGCCTGCTTCCTTTAGTTTTTTGAGGAAGCGTGTTTCTTTTTCTACACTTGAATGCAAGGTATCGTTGAGTGGACTTTGCTGTCTGTGGTTGGACATATTATTTCATTATCTGCTTCTATTAATGTAAGCTTATCCTTCTTTGCTGCACATGATGAAATGTGGCTACACGTGAACAACATTCTTCTATAGAATACACAAGTCTTTCTTCAAAGTTGTTCCTCTATTATGGGTGATCAAAATGTGTTCTGATGTGTTTTTCTCCTTTGTTCCTTTCAAAAGGCTATCGTCTATATATATATATATATCTGCTCATTCTCTTCTTTGTATGTAGGCCTAAAATCTCTAAAGTCTTTGGCACTTTTATCACCTATTTGTGACGCAAGTGCTGTAAAACCCTTACTACAACTAACTGAATTCCAGTGTCTCTACAGCTCAGGCGAATCTGAAAACTTTACCAATTGTCCGATAGAGCACATAAAAGATGTTTTATTAATCTGCTGAGAGGCTATAGAAAGGTTTGGGTGGTTCAATTGGCGCTCTGAGTCGTAACGTCGCTGGACATCGAAATTCCATCGAGAATTAATCCTTTGATCTCAGTGAAGTTTCGATGTTTTAAAATGTCACCGTGTCCAAATCAGAATGTGACTCTGACATAGCGGCATTGTTGCTACACACTAAAAAGCGGCTATTTTGATACATTTTAGTTTTAAAGAGCGATAAGATTTATTCAGGGAACATGTGAGTATTTTCCGTACATTCAAAATAAGATCTGAGGTGACTGTGAAAGGTTGCGTTTCCTTGAGCGAGACAAATTATCGGTAATTCTAACACTAAAACGGCGCTTGTGAACCTAGGCAATATGGACCACTAGTGGGCGATTTGGTCATTCTGGTGAGCGGTAGGGATCACTCGAGTGAGTGACAAGTGTCTTTTAATGGAAGTGGAATGTATGAAAATGTTAGCCTCTTGGAGGTGGGAAAAGTGGACACTGGTTATAAAAAAGGTTGCGAGGACTGCTCTAAATAACTGCTGCATTGCCACGACCGGCAACAGCTTTCTGTTCGAAATTCCTAATTGTTTAATATACGTTATTGCAGCGGTATGCACAAATATGTCGTTTCTTTTCTTATTGTTTAATAACTTATTTAAAAAATGGAGAATTACAGTTTGCAGTGGTCAAGGTTTCCCAGACTTCCCCTGATATCGTTAACATACTCCATTCATGTATATCTCCCCCTCCCCCACCCCCCTAAAAACCACCACGTTTCCCAACCCGCCTCGACATTCAATGCAACTCTTTTGTTGTTTTCGTTATCAGCTTCAAGAACAAAGAAATGCCACTATCGACCGAGAGAACAAACTGCTTCTACGAAAAATGCAGGAAATCATGGAAGCGAGGGAGACGACAAGCAATCAAAAAGGGAAAAAAGAAAGAGAAATCAAAAGGTTGAGACATTATTTCCCTGGGGATAAGCAAGCTAGTTCTATTTACCTTTGTAGCTTTTTAAGATTAAGTATAGCTCCTGCCCCATGCATTCTATAACGTGTATGAGTGTATTTGTGAGTGATAGTGTGTGTGTGAGTTTTAGTGTGTGTGTGTGTGTGTGTGTGTGTGTG